GAAGACTCAGGTTCGAATTCCAGCACCCACATGGAGGCTAACAACATCCATAACTCCAATTCCAGAGGATTCAACACCCACTTCTGTCCTCTAAGAGTAGTGCATGACACCGGTACACTTACACACATGCAGGCAATACACTCACATACATAAAATAAAAATACTACCTAAATTAATGATCAGTTGCAACACTTTCTTCTCTAGGATAGGCTGAAGTTACTGAAAACATAACCAAAGTTTAAAAGAAAAAATTCACAGCATATTATTTAGAAAGATACTTAAAGGCAGATACCAAATCTTTTTTAAAAAATATTTTATTATTTTTATGTGTATGAGTATATGGCCTGCATGTATGTGAGTGTACCCGTGTGTCATGCAATGCTGCAGAGGTCAGAAGAGGGCTTTGGATTCCCCTGGAACTGGAGTTAAGGACAGTTTGTAGCTGCCATGTGGGTGCTGGGGCTTGAACCCGGGTCCTCTGCAAGAGCATTCAGTGCTCTTAACCACTGAACCATCTCTCCAGCCCTCAAGTCTTTTAAGATACCATATCTTTACCTTCAAATTTTGCCTCACCTCACAGCAGGCTCCAAAGCAGGTACTTAAAAGTATTCTGGATGAATAAATCAAGGTGTGTTTGTGTGGTGGGGGGGAGGATGAGTGAGACAGTGGGAAATGTATTCTCAAACATGTGCCATAGCAGGTAGTAATTTCTAATTCAATAAACAAAATTTTTATGAAAAACTAAAACAAAGCAGTATGTACTAGAATTATTTGCTAATTACTTATATACATCTAATGAAATTTTTTTGTTTAAATAAAAGTGACAAAACTTAGAATTTTTTATAGTTTTAAATCAAACACTAAGTATCAACCAAATAATAATTCATAATTTTTCAATGCTGGGGAAGAAGCCAGCTCTTCAGGTCAACACTACTACTGAGTTATACCACTGAGCCCTGGTAGTTCCGATTTCTAAAAATAAAGGTTTAAGACTCAGTAGTAGTAGCTGGGTGTGGTGGTGCACGCCTTTAATCCCAGCACTCTGGAGGCAGGCAGGTCTCTATGAGTTGGAGGCTAGCCTGGTCTACATAGCGAGTTTCAGGCCAGCTGGGGCTTACAGGGAGACCATCTCAAAAATACCAAAAAAAAAAAAAAAAAAGATGACTCAGTAGTAAGTAGGAGCCCTCCTTAGGGAATGAAGTTCAGTGAAAGGTCCTGCAATGACTTTTAATGAATTAACCTTTTTTTGTGTTTATGATACATTAAGATATATTTAGAATGGCAAACCCATAGTGACCAACCAAAAAAGGCTGTCAAAACATGAGAAAACATAGAGAAAGTTGTTTCATTTCTATCCCATCAAACACTTTTTTTTTGGTCATTTTTGAGACAGGGTCCTCCTGTAGCCCCAGCTGGCCTGGAGCTCACAGAACTCCACCTGCCTCTGCCTCCCAAGTGCTGGGATTAAAGGCGTGTGCCACCACACCTGGCACAAACACCTTTTCTTGGGTGAAGAATAAAATGTGGGGTGAAGGGAAACAGACATTTAAATTCTTTAGGTGTCCCTTTTTTCTGCCTTGTTTGTGATAAGGCCTTGAACTTGTGACACTCCTCCAGCCTCAGCATCCTAAGTGCTGGGATTGATCTACTGCACCATACTCCATTTGCCTCCATTTTCAAGCAACTCCATCTTAAAACTAAGGTTGTGCTGGGCATGGTAATCCCAGCACTCAGGAGGCAGATGCAGGCAGATCTCTGTGAGTCCAAGGCCAAGGCCAGCAACAGGATAGGGAGATCCTATCTCAAAAAGACAAAAAAAAAAAACAAAAAAAACAAAAAAAACCCACAACAAAAAACAAAAACAAAACTAAAGTTGGAAACCAGTAGCTTGTAATATAGTTTTTATCCTTTTTTCAAAATTGATTTTTTGCTTTTTATGTGTACAAGTGGTTTGGCTACATGTATGTAAGTGCACCCTTGTGTGCAATACTCACTGAGGCCAGAAGAGGGCATTGGATGCTCTGTTACTGGAGTTAGGCATGGCTTAAGTTTAGCTGACCTGTGGGTACTAGAAACAGAATTCAGGCCCTCTATAAAAGCAATCAGTGATCTGAACTGCTGAGCCATCTCTCCAGCCCCACTTATAAAGTTTTTTAAATGGATAGTTGTTAAATATCAGGAAATTTCACAGAGTTGGGTTGTATTTTTTTTTTTTTTTTTTTTTAAAGACAGGGTCTCACTCTATACACCAGGCTGACCTAGAACTCATTCTGTAACTCAGGCTGGCTTCAAACCCATAGTGATTCTACTGCCTCAGGCCTTCCTAGTGCTGGGATTATAGGCATGAGCCATGATGCCTGCTTTTCAAAATCTCGATTTTTTTGTGTGTGAGATTTTGGCCTCCACCCACCTAATGCTGCTTACCTATATCCTTCTCTCAACTAGAAGAAACTTCAGGATAGAACTAGAATTCAGTCCTTCTTCCCAACAAATGACAAAGTGAGACAAGAGAGGAGTCCCTGGAAAGTCACTTGCCCCCCTGCTCACCTCCCATTTACCTCCCCAGATGTCAGTGGTGTGTGTTGACACTATTATTAAATCACTTCCCATTTATAATAGATATGACAGAAAGCACTGGCTTCTTTTTGAGGATCACTGTGTAGAGTAATTTACTATGAGCAAGCATATCAATTTAAGGCATTTCTAACCTATTTCATCCTGGAAGCACATTAAATTTACCTAGTGGAAAAACTCACCAATGACACAGAAAATGAATCTGCTATCAAAGGCAATTAAGAGCTTCTGGAATACACAATAAAATAGGTGGTTTGTAATCAGTAAATACTAGGAGCCAATGTGGGTTCACCAAGAATAAGAAATCAAATAGATATATCACTTTCTATTTAGATAAAACTATCCATTGGCCAGTCAGAGGAATGTGATAAAGATTATATATTAATTTCAGAGTTGTTCCTGAAATTTCAGGTAAGAAGATACAATGTAGATGGGATAATAATATGCAAATTTACTTTGTTTTTTATCTTTATTTTTTGGAGACAGGTTCTCACCAGGCAGGCCTCAAACTTACTATGTAACCCATGCTGGCCTTGAACTCCAGATATCCTTCTGCTTCAACTTCCTGAGTACTGGGATTACAAGTGTGTACCACTACATGTAGTTCAATGATATATACATTTAAAATTATTAATTTATTAATTATTATTATTTAAAGGTAGGATCTTCTATAGCACAGAATGGTCTCCAACTTGCTAAGCAGGCTAGGTTGGACTTGAACTCCTGATCCTTCCATCTCAGCCTCCTAAGTGCTGGGATTTTAAGTTGTGCATGACACCTGGCTGAATGATGCATTTCTCAATTAGTAATAATTGTGCCTCAGATAAACCTCATTGGTTATGATACCGCCACTGCACAAAGCTCAATGATCTATTTTTAACTAATTGAAATATCTTTCATTGATTCTGAACCTATGGCTGGCAGAGTTCTCTAGTGGAGTACTACAGGCCTTGCTGGCTTTACTTCTCTTTCTCTAATCTCTGGGTAGTCAATATTATCTTTTATCAGTAACTTGAAAACTAAGACACATCTATATAATTTGCCAGTAACATAATTGGAGAGATATAATGAGACAATTGATAAAAATAACGTTTGAAATGACTGAGCTAGAACGAATGGGTTAAAAAGAATATGGCATTTAATAGAGAGAAATGTATCTGAATTTGCATTTAAAATGTGAACTATAATATTAAATACACAATAAGAGAGGGACATTCATCTTAATAGTATCCCATATGAATAAAAGATCTGATTTTAATTAACACCAAGATAATATATGTCAACAGTGTGATGGGCTGTTAAAAAGTCATGTTAGCCGGGCATGGTGGTGCATGCCTGTAGTCCCAGCACTTGGGAGGCAGAGGCAGGCAGATCTCTGTGAGTTCAAGGCCAGCCTGGTCTACAAAGTGAGTTCTAGGACAGCTGGGGCTACAGGGAGACCCTGCTTCAAAAAGACAAAAAAATAAAAAATAAAAAAATAAAAAAAAAATAAAATAAAAGGCAAAAAAATCTCTCCAAAGAAAGCCATTAGCACTGGACATGATGGTACACTCCTTTAATTCCAGCAGAGGCAGAGATAGGTTGATCTCTGTGAGTTCAAGGTCAGCTTGGTCTATATGTAATGAGTTCGGGGCCGGCTAATACTACTAATAGTAAGATCCTTTCTCAACCCTGTCCCCTCAAAGAAGCTTCAGCATTTCATAGACACAACCACTATACTGCTGGTAGCCACATATCATGACCATTTGATTCCAGGTGAGCTGGAGCTACAGGGAGACCCTGTCTCAAAAACAAACAAACAAACAAATTCAAACTATGAGCCAGGCATGGTGGTATATCCCTTTAATCCCAGTACTTGGGAGGCAGAGGCAGGCAGATCTCTGTGTGTTCAAGGCCAGTCTGGTCTATGAGAGAGTTCTAGACCAGCTTAGGAGTACATAGTGAGATCCTGTCTCAAAACACAAACAAACAAAAAACCCTAAAACAATCAAATCCAAATGGTTCACATTAGTATGGTTTCAATAAGATACATTATATGAATGTAAGCTAAGTACAGTATCATACATGTCCTTCACTTGGGATCAACATACCTTTCCTTACTATGTCTCATTTATTTCTTCAACTCATACCCAGAAGATTTTATTATTCCTATACATATTATCTCCTAATGTGAAAGTTAACATTCCTAATGAAAAAAATTCAAAATCTTGTTTTATAATCCTCAAATATACCTACTAATTTAAAAACATTATTAAGGATGCTTCCAAAACTAAACATTGTCATTACAGTGAGAATATAGTGGAAGTTAGTGGGGCATCAGTTGGCTTATTGCCTTTGTAACGAGTAGCTGTATAATAAATAGTTTATCCACTTTTTCTTTTGTATTTTAACAGAATGCCTGGTACCCAGTAAATAAAGTTAAGAACCTGTTAAGAACTGCAGTGAAGATTTTGTTCTTTACAGATTGCAGCAAGTCTGAGTTGAGGAAGTTCTGACAGATGCAAAATGTACACCTGTTGCAGGTGCACATACAGCGTAACCGGGCATGGCTGTGAAAACACACAGAAGGACAGGGTTGAGTTCTTACTTATAAATATGGCACAAGTCAGGGTGTGCCAACTTAAAAAAATTTTAGGCATAAGCAACACTCTTTGTAGAAAGGAAAAGGACAGTGTGGGGCATGCTAAAGTTGTGCAGAATTCCACATTTACTGAAAATATAATAAGCAGCATAGTTTTTCCTTCCTCCCTATAGAAAATCTAGGAATATTAGCTAAAAAACTTTTTTGGAGGGGGGATGGAATCATTATCAGATGAGTTTTAGTGGAATAAATATGCACAGCAATAGATGACACCCTCATCTAAATTAATAAAAACAAAACTTGAGTAAGCCATAGCACCAACCAAAGGACAAGGTTTGCTAGCATTTGAATCACTATTCCCTCCTCCTCCTCCTCCTCCCTCAACATACACACATGCCTGAAAACCAGGAAGGAGAAGAGTGACAGACACAAGAGTCAACAGACGAGTATATTCAACCCTGAGAAGATATGAACAACATCGTCTTTAATTCATCAAGCACCCTGGCTCCCAGTGGAAGTCAAAGTGCTTCATAAATTTCTACTAGAAAATAGAGAGTTAATTTTATCAGCTACCAAAACATAGCAGCTAAGTATGATAGCATGAAACTCCGGGTAAGGATGTAAAACTCAACAATGGATCCAATTAAAATCAAGAATGAAATTTAAGGAGACTTTCTGACTCCTTTCTGGTTGAGTGGAGCTGCACTGGTTAGTGCAGGCATACAGGACAACCCATTTCACCTAAGCCCTGACTGCAATGTTGGGGGCTGCCAATGACTGGTCAGTGGTCAGACAAACAAAGCCATCACACCACCTATAAAGAGGTACTGACTGGCGCAAAACCCACTCAGAAAAGCGCCAAATGTTGAATCAATAGCATCACTTCCTGTAACACCTCATCATTTTTAGAGGCTTCTTAGTCAAAGGACTGGCCCAATCTGCTTTGGCTTAGCTTGTGAGATCTGATGAGACCACAGCACACGGTGGCATGGTTGTGGAGATTAGCAGCATCCCAATAATGCCTAATTCCCAACATGAAGGAAAATAAGAATTAATTTTGAGAATTAATGCTCAAGACATTTCTTTTTGAAACCTGACTTGTGATGAGGACTGTATCACTGCTACTAAGACACTGTCAGCTGTCATACTGGAATCCCTCATTATGCCATAAACTGAACCTGACTCTTCAATACACAAGGCTCCACCCATCAAAAAGGAGAGAGGCAAGTATGCTTAGCAACAGGGAGATACTTCATGAGAAGTAGTTTGCTATTAATACATAAGTAAGTGTCCATATATGTACATTTATCATATATACACACACAAGAATTAAAATAAAATGTTTAGAGATGCAGCTCTAATAACAGTTGCAATTACTTACAAGATAAATAAAGTATTTTACATTGTAAAGACGGCACTATAATACACAGTTCAGTGTAAGTCTGACCAAGCAGTGCGTTTCTAAATATTACTAAAATTAATAGCAAGAAAGGAAATTTGGCCATCCTATAAGAAAATGTCAACAAAATTCCACTGAAGTCATAAAGAAAAAGTAACTTACAAAGCAGTTTTTAGAAAGACCCAGATTTTTCTCAAATTCTCTATTCTACCAGTGTTGCCCATGTCTCGGGAGAGTCTGCCTCTGTAATGATCTCTGTAGATAACATACATGAGAGTTTTAAAGCAAAGGTAAAATATAAGTTAAGTTTTTGCTTATCTAATATTACTAGGAATGACTTGATTTCCAAAACAAATAGAAATTCAAATACTTGCTGCATTTTTTTAAAGTATTAGTTAATAGAATACCAGTAAACTATAACTTTAAAAATCTAAGTAGGTTAACACTTTTTTGGAAAGCATGAGTCTTGGTTTATGGCAGTGTTTCATTCATACTGTTATATTTGAGAAGTGTATTATTTATACTCAATACAATTGATATATTGTAGTTTTCATTCAAGAAACGATTTAGAGACTAACACAGGAACAAACAGGAATAAGCTATATAGTCCTGAGAAACGCACTGCCTGAGAAGCTGTTTTGTTACAAAACAGAAAGTACACAAATGCTCTACTTGAGAAATGAGATGAGGATCATGCAATTTTAAAGAGTTAGTAAACTACAAAGACAGCCATTGTTACATGCTTTTACATATGTATGTATAGATATAATAAATGTACATGAAATTTGTGACTGTAACAATGCAAAATATTAATAGTGGACATTCCAATGACAACTTTTTACAGCACTTTAAAAAGACATCAAAATCTGAACACAAACATAAAACATGTTCAATGCAAATTCACAAAAGATTTTTTAATTCTTCACATACTCAAAGTCAATTAATCAACAGAAAAATATAAAAAATGAATTTTGTGTTCATATGGAAATGCCTTACAAGCATAAAGCAACATTATGTCAACTCCATTTTATCATAGTAAGACTATGGTTTAATGCTGGATGGTAGCTGTGCATATTGTACTATCATGCTTAAAAGAGCTGTGGAGTGCCCAAAAATATACAGACGGCCAGAAGCACAGTTTTATGACATCCAAACCAAACTTGAAGTTGCTCAAATTCATACCTTCTCATTACAAAGTCTCTTTCTGTTGCTGAACAATTTTTATGTGACAAAAATCCCCACCCCACCCCCACCTTCATGGCTAATGACATGCAATGTTATTATGAACCATACAACATGAAAGTGAAGACAGAGCAAGTACTTACGGGTACATGGCCATTGTTGTCAATTTAACAAAGATATCCTTACTGGGCGCATCAGCAGTGTTGCAAGTGAAGGCTTGAGGTGGAGGCATTTTGTGTTTCCTGCAGAAATCAGTAGGTGAGATACTATACTCTTGTTTAACTTCATGTAGGTCTGACTTTGCAGCTATGATTAAGCAGGGTATTCTGCTGTCCATAAAATGTTGCTATGGAATAAAAAGTGAAGTCAAATTTTGATGCCAAGTTCAAAAATTACTATTTAACTAAGTGTAAACTAATAATTTCCTAGGACAGGCCAAGCAACAATAATTTTATTTTTTTTGGTCTTTTTGAGACAGGGTCTCCCTGTAGCCCCAGCTGACCTGGAACTCGCTATGTAGACCAGGTTAGCCTCGAACTCACAGAGATCTGCCTGCCTCTGCCTCCCAAGTGCTGGGATTAAAGGCATGCACGACCATGCCCGGCACATGTAGGAGAATATTTTAATGCTATGTCTGGGACACTATTAGCACAGAAGGAAATGAGAATCTTTAGCAATAGAGTACAAATGTGTTTATTTTTTAAAAGCTCCACAAACTATTTTGCTGTACTTTTCTAACTAGGAAACACCACAATGCAATTCCTTTAAAACATTTAGTCATGATCCATAAGAACAACAAACCTTAAAAATCCTGGCACAGTATTCAAAGGATTTAGGGTTAGTGACATCATATACCAGGCATACAACATCACAAATGATCTCAGCTTCAGTTAGGAATTCCGACTCTGAGATATCGTGCAACTTGTAAAAAGAAAAAGATAATGAGAAACCCATGTATATCGATGTACAAAGTGATGCAATATATTCCAAAGAAAACATTAAACCATGCATAATCAAAGACATGAAAAATATGAATTACAAAGCCTAACATAAGAATATTAATAGTCAGCAATATTTACTGAGTACTAATATTTAAAACTACGTGCACAAGGCCAAGTATGGCGGCACATGCCTTTAGTCCCAGCACTCCAGAGGCAGAGGCAGGCAGATCTCTGTGAGTTCAAGGCCAGCCTGGTCTACACAGCAGGTTCCTGGCCAGCTGGGGCTACAGGGAGACCCCATCTCAAAAATACTAAAACAAAGAAAAAAGCTACACGGGACAAAAAGGTTTAATTAGAAACTGACAAACCTTTATCAGAAAATGTAAAATATAATATTCACAAATATGGGTAACATTCTTTCAATGTGGTTATCTGGAAAAATAAACTATTTCTATAAAACTTAGAATGAAGTTTTCTAATACTTAGTAATTAGAAGCTTTATATCAAGGACCTAGTATGGTAAGAAATTTGGATTACCAAGAATAAGCCTCTTGCTTAAGGTCATATAATTAATCAATTGTGAACCAAGGCTAAAATTGAAAGACAAGACCCAAGGAAAGCACATGACCCCTTTCTACTATATTTCACTGGTGTTTTCTCTTTTGTTTTTGTTTTGTTTTAAGACAAGGTCTCCCTATGTACCCTGGTTACCCTAGAACTCGCTACGTACCAGGCTGGCCTGCATCTGCCTCCTAAGTGCTGGGATTAAGTCATGTGCCACTGTGCCCTCTTTTCCTGCTTTCACATACTTTTATATTCCTATACTTCTCCCTGCTAAACAGAGACTTGATTCAAATTATAAACTACAGCACTCATTTCATATTAAATCTTATTTCATAACAGTATTCTTTTTTTTTGGTCTTTTTGAGACAGCATCTCCCTGTAGCTCCAGGTGCCTGGAACTCACTCTGCAGACCAGGATGGTCTTGAACACACAGAGGATCTGCCTGCCTCTGCCTCCTGAGTGCTGGGATTAAAAGCGTGTGCTACCACACCTGGCTAGATTTTTCTTTTTAAGATTTATTTTTATTTATCTGAATGTGTGTGTGCTTGTACATGTGCATGAGGGTACCCATGGAGGCCAGAAGAGGGCACTGGATCTCCTGAAGCTGGAGTTATAGGTGGTTGTGAGCTGCCTGATATGGGTGCTGGGAACAGAACTCAGGTCCCATGCAAGAGTAATATGCATTCTTAACTGCTGAGCCATCTGTCCAGCCCCTCAAGAGTAGATTTTTTTTTTTTTTGTCTTTTTGAGACAGGGTCTCCCTGTAGCCCCAGCTGAAGAGTAGATTTTTTAAAAAATCAAAATGGAAGAATAAAAGGGGAAGGTTTTCTTCTGAGTTTCTCATTATGGGCTATTTAACAAACAATTGAGTGTGCAAAAAAAAAAAAACAAACCCAGATTTTTACTTGTTCGTATACCTATGTAATCATCACATAGAATCAATAGAATTAACCTTCCAAATGAAAAAACTGGGAGAAAAATATCACACATGAGTTCAACACTCTGCCATTAAAGTAAAGCTATTTTGTTTCAGTCCTTACCAACAAGTATTTCTCTTGTCCATATACATAGACAGTGTTAATCGCATAATAGGATTTATGATCATCACGAATTTTCTTCTGCCTCTGAAAATAAATAAAAAATCTTAGTATTTATAACAAAATACTACAGTAACCAGCTTCTCTTTCTTTTCTTTTTTCTCTTTTCTTTTCTGAGACACGGTCTCCTTGTGGCCCCAGGTAGCCTGGAATTCACTATGTAGACCAGGTCAGCCTCAATTTCACAGAGATCTGCCTGCCTTTGCCTCCTGAGTACTGGAATTAAAAGTGTATGCCACCATGTCTGGCTAGTAACTACTTTTTAAAAAAAGATTTCATTTATCTATATTTTTTATTTTATGTGTATGAGTGTTTTGCCCATATAAGTGCACCTGTGTGTCATGCAATGCCTTTAGAGGCCAGAAGATGGTTTCAGAACTAGAGTTAAGGACGGTTGTTAGGTGCCATGTGGGTACTGGGTCCAAACTCAGGCCCTCTGCAAGAACAGCCAGTGCTCTTAATCATTAAGCCATCTCTCCAGTCCCTACAGTAACTACTTTTCATCAACATAACTTTGGGTTCATACATGGGTGAGTTATAAACAAGGCCTTTCTTCTCTCTACTGTTTATCAGTTTTAAAAGGGATACAGATTTTACGTTTCTCAGTTCTGAGCATCTTAGACAAGAAGACCATTTATGCATAAAGTAAAAGTGGTAGCTGGAGCAGAAGCAAACTGTATTAGAGAAGGTGCATTCTAGAATCCCCTGCTGGGAATTCGCATACTGTAATTTGGTTTGACATGAGAATGACTGGTAAATACATATCTTCTTAGTCAAGGGAAAACCAGAACCAGCTTTAGTACCCACTTGATACATTTATTTTACACCATAGACTGTGTTAGATGCTTTCTTATATGTAGCCATTTAATACCTACCTAAACACTGATTAAAATAAATATTGAGCTGGGCGTGGTGGTTCACGCCTTTAGTGCCAGCACTTGGGAGGCAGAAGCAGGTGGATCTCTGTGAGTTTGAGGCCAGCCTAGTCTATATATTGAGTTCTAGGCAGGCTGGGGGTACAGGGAAATAAAAGAAAGAAAAAAAGAAATATGCAAGCTAAAAGGATAGCTAACGCCAATGAAGATGATAGATAATTCAATAGGATTGTTACTTTATTTGTTTGCTAAGACAGGATCTTACTATGTAGCTCAAGCTGGCCTGGAACCTGCTAGCAGCCCAGACTAGCCTCAGCCCCCAGTCTTCCTATATCTTGCTTCCCAAATGCTGGAGATATACCTATTGTTACACTTCAGATTGAATTGTACTAATGTACACACATATGTATGCCAGTCAATTTTAATAATCATCTAAAAAGGTTAATGCCTCTACAAGTTTTTGTAAACTCATTATTAGAAAATTTTGTTAGATAACACTATATTCCGACAATCCTCACCATTAAGTTTCTTCCAAGGAGAGCCTGAAGAACTCCACTTTTCCCACAGCCTTTCATTCCAATTACATTACATCTGAACACATTTCTTTGGGTCTGTTTTTTCTGCAGGTCAATCTTTTTATCTCTTGTTACTGAGAAGAAAAACAAACACCACTAAATACAAACCATTAGGACTCACTGAGTCCCCATTCCACAAGCTATATAATTAGATATGGCTGTTTTTTACTCTTAGGAAGTGTTTGACTTATAAATATACTATACAATAGTTAAACTGCATGTGAAATAAAATGATAAATATAATGCAGGAAGATATCCCTGGAAATCACTATGTAGACCAGGCTGGTCTTGATCTCACAGAGATCTGTCTGCCTGTGCCTCCCAAGTGCTGGGACTAATGGCATGCACCACTATGCCTGGCTGAAAGATGTGTTTTTGAAAGTTGGCTATAAAGTGTCAATTTTCAGTAATCAAATGATATTTTCATCAAAAAATAGTATATTTTCATTATGAAAATATCCTAAAAATAGTTGTGTAATTAGCCTTACATCCTACTTATTATTTTCTGTGTTAAATTACTATTATAATAAGCTATATGTTGAAAAGTGATACTCTTTTCCTCTGCATGTGTTTGTGTGTGTGGTGTGTATGCATATGTATGGAGGCCAGAGTTAATGTTGGGTATCTTCCTTGCTTGCTCTCCACGTTTTGTATCAAGGCAGGGTCAGTTCCTGAACTCAGAGCTTGTTAATCAGGCTAATCTAGCTAACTGGGGATCTCCTGTATCTGCCTCTGGAGCACTAAGATTACAAGTGGGCTGCCATGCCCACCTAGCTTTTGTATATGGGTATTGGGAACCTGAACTCTGGTCCTCATGTTTGTACAGCAAGCATTTTATCCACTGAGGCATTCTTCAACCTGGAAAGGAACGTGTACTCCAGTATGAACTGGCCTTTCAAATTTGACTCTTTAAAAGAGGCAGGCCAGAGAACAACACTGCATCTTCAGCACAATAGGATATCCCTTGTTTTTCTTTCTTACTTGGGGGATGGGGGAGTTTGAAGGAGAGTCTCAGGCTGTAATCCAGGCCTGCCTCCAACTCATCACTAGAGTACTGCTTAGAGCAGAAGCTAAAGTGCTATATTTGGGTTTTCTTTAAAAAAATATTATTTTTATTTTATGTGCATGAGTGTATTGCTTGCATATATGTTAAGTGCACTCATGTCATGCAATGCACATGGAGGTCAGAAGAGGGCGTTGGATCCCCAGGAACTGCAGTTATGGATGGTTGTTAGACAACATGTGGGTGCTGGGAATTGAACCTGGGTCCTTTGCAAGAGCAGCAGCCAGTGCTCTTAACCGCTGAGCCATCTCTCCAGCCCCCTCCTTTCTGATAAACAATAAAATCAAGTATCTGTACTCAGAAAAAAACCAAAACCAAAACCAAAACCCCCCAAAAAACAAAAACAAAAAAACCCCCAAATCCTGAAGAAAACTAACAGGATAGGCAGAATGACATGAGTTTATTTTTACTCTATAACATTTGGAATGAGGTTTTTGTTTGTTTTGTTGTCACCTGATGTGGTAACTTTGTACACATTTCTGAATCCCGTTTTTTTTTTCTTTGTCTTTTTGAACAGGGTCTACCTGTAGCCCCAGCTGACCTGAACTCACTATGTAGACAAGGCTGGCCTTGAACTCACAGAGATCCGCCTGCCGCCTCTGCCTCCTGAGTGCTGGGACTACAGGCATGCACCACCATGCCTGGCCTGAATCCCATTTTAAATATAATAGTTACATACAGCAGTGGGTCTCATGATATTTTCATGTATGTATAGATTTTGACTATATTCATGAACATACATAACCCTCTCTTGTTCTTCTCCCACTCCTGCTGATCTTATTCCTCTTCCCAACTCATCCTCCTACTTCCATGTATTTTTTTATTGACCCAATGAGTTTTGCTTACAGGAGCATGATTGATCCAATGAATGCTGCTTACAGGAACATGAATGAGGGTTATTTACAGGCTACAACACTAAAGAAAATGTCTCTACTACCCCCAGCAATGATTAACTGCCTATAGAGCCCCAGCAAGGTGTGGGGCCTTGAAAGCCCCTGAAGGTGATGGGCCCAATCACGTGAGCTCAGGTTTTGTGTAAGTAATCATAGCTACTTTGAGTTCAAGAGAACAATGGCTTTGTTTTTCTTGTTTGTTTTTTGAGACAGGGTCTCATATAGCCCAGGCTTATGTACATATTATATTTGAGAATGATCTTGAACCTCTGATTCTCTTGCCTCTATCTCCCCAATGTTATTAGAGGCATGCACTGCTTTGCTGAGTATATCTGATGCTGGGGCTAGAACCCAGAGCTTCATGTTTATCAGATAATCATTCTACCAACTGAGCTACTGCACAGCCCCAAACTTCAGTTAGAAAATACGCCGAGGGGGTGGGAAAAAAAATATGCCTAGTCATGAACTAAATAGCATTCAGATGTTTACCTGTAATGGCTGAAGCTTGAGACTCTTGTTCAGTCAGTATGGAATAGCCTAGGTAGCCCAAATACTCTAGGCACCGCTGGACATCTAAGTAGGTTGTGAGCCTAAAAATGTGAAATTTATAAGGTGAAAAAGTTCTAAATGAACATTCATAGAAAAAATTTCCAACAAATTAGAAAAACATTATCCACCACACCTAGCTAATGTATGTCAGGCTTCTTTAATTTCCTGTGTATCCAACTATGACTTTTTGTGTATATGTGTATATGCAATGCATGCACAGGTAAGTGTGCATATGGAAGTCAGAGGACAAATTTCAGTGTCATTCCTCAGGATCTGTCCACCTTGGAGACTTTTAAGATTTATTTTTATATTTTATTATTTTTATGTGTATATGTGTATTGCCTGCATGTAGGTAAGTGCACCCATGTTGTGCAATGCCCTGGGAGGACAGGAGAGGCTGCCAGATCCCCTGGAACTGGAGTTACAGACAGTTGTTAGCTGCCATGTGGGTGCTGGGATTCGAACCCAGGTCTTCTGCAAGAACAGCTGGTATTCTTAACCGCTGAGCCATCTCTCCAGCCCCCCTTTTAAGATTTAAAAAAATTATTTTTAATTATGTGTGTATGTGTGTGGCAGGAGTATATGCATGTGAGTGCTGGTGCCCACAGAGCCCAGAGTGATGAGATAAAAGTGGAGCTGGAGTAACAGGAAGTTATGAGCTGCCTGATGTGGGTGTAGGGAACCAAACTTGGGTCCTCTATAAGAGCAGAACACACTTTTTTTTTTAATGTGTACGAGTGAGTACATTGCCTGCATGTATGTAAGTGCACCCATGTCATGCAGAGGTCAGAAGAGGGCATTAGATTCCCCTGGAACTGGAGTTAAGGACGGTTCTTAGCTGCCATGTGGATACGGGGAATCTAACCTGGGTTCTCTGTGAGAGCAGTCAGTGCGCTAACTACTGAGCCATCTCAGTAGACCCAATGTCTGCCTTGTTTTCTGAGACAGCTGACTGGCCAGTGAGCTTCAGGGATTTGTATGTTTCTGTCCTCCCAAGAGGAGGCCGTGGTTACAACTGAATACCACTTTTGGATGTTTTTTTACATGTGTTCTGGAAATTAAATTCAGGTCCTTGTAAGCACTTTACCAACTGCGCTATCTCCTCATCCCCTCTAGCCATGACTTTTCCTACAATGCTATTCCTAATACAAAGGTGAATTCCTTTACTCATCTGCCAGAGAAAGCAAACCTGTGCAAGCGAGCTGCCACTCAGATAAATAAACACTGGTAAAATCTACAAGAAGTATATTTTCTGCTTCCCAAGCTAACATATGGACTAGCTGAAAACCTAATGTTAACTACTAAGATCTGAAAAGGTTTGACAAAGAAGTGAGGCTTGGTGGTGCACACCTTTAAGCACATCACAGCACTCGGGAGACAAAGGTAGGTGGATCTCTGTGAGTCCAAGTCCAGTCTGGCCTCCATAGGGAGTTCTAGGCCAGCCAGGGTTACATAGTGAGACCATCTCAAAAAATAAAAATAAAAAAGCGCCAGGCAAGGTGGCAAATGCCTCTAATCCCAGTACTCAGGAGGCAGAGGCAGGTGGATTTCTGTGAGTTCAAGGCCCGCCAGGTCTACATAGTGAATCTAGGCCATTTGTGGCTACAGGGAAACCCTATCCCCCCCCCCCCCAAAAAAAAAGCAAGACATCTGAAATTAGTCTTTTTTCTGTATCAAGGGGGAAAATGGGGCTGGAGATGGCTCGGTGGTGAAGAGCACTGGCTGCTCTTCCAGAGGACCTGGGTTTGGTACCCAGGACCCACATGGCGACTAACACCCATCTTTAACACTGGTTCCAGGGGATCTGATGCCTTCTGACCTCTAAAGGCACCAGGCATGCATGTGGTGCACTACATACACAAAGGCAAAACACTCATACACACAAAATCAAACCTTAAAAACAAAAACAAGGGCTGGAGAGATGGCTCAGCAGATAAGCCCACTGGTTGCTCTCGCTGAGGACCTGGGTTCAGTTCCTAGCACCTACATAGTGGCTAATAACCATCTACCAGATTGAGGGGATCTGTCACCCCTTCTGGTCTCTGTGGGTATTTGCACATACATGGTACATCTACATACATGCAGGCAAAACACTCATACACATAAAATTAAAAAAAAATTTTTTTAAAATATTCGTTTATTTATTTTGAGACAGGGTATCACTATGTAGCTCCAGATGGCTTGAAATTCACTATGTAGACCAGTCTGGCCTTGAACACACAAACATCTGCCTCTACCTCTGCCTCCTGAGTACTGGGATTAAAGGCATGCACCACCATGCCCAATAAATAAAAACTTAAAAAAAATATTATTTGTTTATTTTTATATGTTTGAGTGGATTTTTTGGCTTTTTGAGACAGGGTCTCCCTGTAGCCTCAGGTGGTATGGGACTCACTCTGTAGACCAGGCTGGCCTTGAGCTCACAGAGATCCGCCTGCTTCTGTCTCCCAAGTGCTGGGATTAAAGGTGTGCACCACCATGCCCAAATAAAAACTTTTTCTTGGGGGGGGGTGGGTTGAGACAGGGTCTCCCTGTAGTCCCAGCTATCCTGGAACTCACTATGTAGACCAGGCTGGCCTTGAACTTAGAGATCCTCCTGCCACTGCCTCTCGAGTGCTGGGGCTAAAGGTGTGCGCCACCATGTCCAGCTATAGAAACTTTTTAAAAGGAAACAAAAAATAAGAACAAAAATCCAGAGGCTGGGGATGTAGCTCGGTCAGTAAAGTGCTTGCCTGGCATTCATCAGGTCCTCAGTTCCAGCCCTTCCTTGCAGCATATAACCTTAGCACGATGGCACAAGCCTGAAATCTAAGTACTTAGGAGGTAAAGGCAGGAGGATCAGGAGTTCAAGGCTAATCTAAGATACATAAAATCCTATCTCAAAAAGAAAAAGATGTTAATGTTGAAAAAGGTTGTAAGGGCTGGAGAGATGGCTCAGTGGTTAAGAACATTGACTGTTCTTGCAGAAGACTGGGGTTTGAATCCCAGCGCTCACATGGCAGCTAACAACTGTGTGTAACCCCAGTTCCAGGGGATCCGACGGCCTCATCTGCCTCTGCAGGGATTGCACGACACAGGTGCACTTACCTACATGCAGGCAATATACTCATACACATAAAATAAAAATAATAAGGAGCTGGAGAGTTGGCTCAGCGGTTAAGAACACTGGTTGTTCTTGCAGAAGACCTGGGTTCGAATCCCAGCACCCACATGGCAGCTAACAACTGTCCATAACTCCAGTCCTAGGGGATCCGACAGCCTCTTCTGACCTCTGTGGGCATTGCACAACACAGGTGCACTAACCTACATGCAGGCAATACACACATACTCAAAAAATAAAAATAAATAAAAATTAAATAAATAAATATTTAAAAAAAGCAAAAAAGAAAAAGGTTGTCTATGGTATGCGTCCCTTGAAGCCCCTCCCACTCCTAAAGTAATGATGTCATCATGCAAGAACAGAGGACTCCATTAACACTCTTGACACAATGTTAGTCAAGCTATAACTAGGTTTTAGACAAATCCACTAAGTTCAATTAAGAATTCATTAAAAATCACTAAAAACAATGTAAAGTCTAATATCCCCATTTTTGAAGGATTATTAAACAGTAATGACATTTCTGACCTTTTTTTTTTGTCTTTTTGAGACAGGGTCTCCCTGTAGCCCCAGCTGGCCTGGATTTGCTATGGAGACCAGGGTGGCCTCGAACTCACAGAGATCCACCTGCCTCTGCCTCCCGAGTACTGGGATTAAAGGCCAGAAAACAAAAGTACTAAAATTTAGATCCTTTTTGATGTAAAAAGTATTATTTTTCAATACATCATCCAAAAGAAAACAATCCCTTCCTGTTAAATTTACAAAATTTCTATAGCTCATCTTAGAGACATCCTTTCTTAGGTTTGAAGTTTACAAAATATACCACTGCCAAGATTTTACAATAATTGTGACCTTAGAGAAAAGAGATGAGCTCTATACTCACGTCCACTGGGAAAGGAATCCCTGGTAGGTTATCCAGCCTCTTTCATTGGTGCAAACCGTGTTATTCACATCTGGCCCCCAAGGTATATAAGGGAAAACTTTAAATAAATCTTTAAGTTCATCAGGTGATAAAGCACAGTCTCTATCCTGAAGACGTACAAGAAAATAACATAATATTTAGATATCTAAGAAAAATATTTTCAACCATAAACACTCCCTAGTTCAGTAAAAAATAAAAACCCAAAATAACAACAAAAAAAATTATGCTTTTAGAAACTAATTTTAAAATTATAAGAAACTTTACACTTTATAAGAAAATTCCTCATATTACAAGAGTACCAGAAAACTAGACTTTTTCATCTTGAGAAAACAATAAAATAGCAGGAAGTATTTTTGTTGATTAAAGGGTCTCAAGTTTTTGGCTATATAACATAAACACTAGCCAGTTGAGGGCACAGAAAAAAAAAATCATACACAGAAAAACACACAGGAAAATATTTTACTCTGCATTTTGGAAAACTGGAAAACTGCAGGTAAATGCTTACCAAATCATGTTTGTCAAAGGTGCTTTGAAGAAACAAATATGCATGATGATTTAATTCAGTAGTGCAATCAGGAGGTATTTTTAGCCTGTTGATAAAAAATTAAGGATAAATTACTAATCAAGTATTAAAATTTAATTTGAAAAAAGAATAAAAAATTGAAACAAGTCTTTTTATGGAATGACAGCATGTACAAAAATATTTTCTCTGAAGTCACTTAGACCTTCCCAGGGGAAGTTTCTGTGGTAGTTACAGCATTCCTCAGAATCATGCCAAATGCTCATGCCAAAGTGACATATACATTATTTTTCCTAATTATAAGGGCGAGATGAAATAAAAACTTTACAAATAATATTGATAATGGGCTGGGATGTAGCTTGTTTGGTAAACCACTTGCCTAGCATGCACAAAGCCACTGGCTTGATTCCTAGAACCAAGTAAAGTGCAGGTGATGGCAGACACCCATTATCTCAGCCCACCAAAGGTGGAGGCAGGAGGACCAGGAGTTCAAGGTCATTCTCAGTTACTTAGTGAGCTTGAGGACAGCCTGGACAACAGGCTATTTCAAAAAACAAAATAATGCCAGGTGTGGTGACTGTATGCCTTTAGTTCCAGCACTGGAGAGGCAGAGGCAGGTGGATATCTGAGTTCAAGGCCAGCCTGGTTTACATACAGAGTTCCAGGACAGCTGGGACTGCAGGGAGACGCTGTCTCAAAAAAGATTCCCCCCAAATAAATAAATAAATAAATAAATAAATAAATAAAAAAGGGAAGCAGATATGGTTTAGTGGCTAAAAGCACTTGCTGAGCAAGCCTGACAACTTGACTTCTAATTCTTGCTTAAAAAAAAAAAAAAGAGCCTGGTGTGGTGGCGCATACCTTCAGTTCCAGCACCTGGGAGGAGGCAAAGGCAGGTGGATCTTTGTGAGTTCCAGGCTAGCCTAGTCTATGTAGGAGTTCTAGGTCTGCTGGGGCTACAGGGAGACCCTGCCTCAAAAAGGCCAAAAGAAGAAGAGGAAAAAGCTGAAAGAGATGGCAGGTCTCTGTAATCCCAGCACTGCTAAGAGCAGTTCAGAGGTGGATACAAGAAAAGCTACCAGAAGCTCATGGGCCAGCTAACCTGAGTGCACAGCATAGTAGCCAACAAGAGAGGTCCTGCTTCAAAAACAAGGTGGGGCTGGTGAGATGGCTCAGCAAGTAAAGGTGCTTGCCCATCAAACCTGAAGACCTGAGTTTGATTCCCAAGTCCCACATGTTGGAAGGAGGTAATCAACTCCTAAAAGACATTCTCTAGCCGAGTGTGGTGGCGCATGCCTTTAGTCCTAGCACTTGGGGGAGGCAGAAGTAAGCGGGTCTCTGTGAGTTCAAGGCCAGCCTGCTCTACATAGCCAGTTCCAGGACAGCTGGGGCTACAGGGAGACCCTGTCTTAAAAGACCAAAAATAGGGGCTGGAGAGATGGCTCAGCGGTTATGAGCGCTGACTGCTCTTGCAGAGGACCCGGGTTCAATTCCCAGCACCCACATGGCAGCTACAAACCATCCTTAACTCCAGTTCCAGGGGAATCCGAAGCCCTCTTCTGACCTTCGTGGCATTGCATGACACAGGTGCACTCACCTACATGCAGGCAATACACGCATACACATTAAAAAAAAAAAAAAAGACCAAAAATAAAAATTAAATAAATAAAAAAAGGTATCCTCTAATCTCCACACATGCCTTACAGCAAATGTGCACCCACCCATCACACACACAATAAATAAATGTAATAAAAAAGTAAAAAACAAAACAAATGTGGCATTTAGCGAGAATTAACACCCAAGGTTGTTGTCTGACCTCCATGCATGTATGCCCTGGCACATTCATGCCCTGAAACATAAATCACACGCACAATACACATACACACAGTCACCAAATAATGCTGATTAAACTGTAATTGGTCTGTTCTTTCTATAAACAAACTATAGGCCATAGTTATGAGCTTAATATTAATGCCAAAAAATAGTAATGAGTCAAAAATAATATGGAGAAAGTATTTTTACCAGTTTGACCTTTCTGATCACTTTAATTTTTTTTTGGTCTTTTTGAGACAGGGTTTCCCTATAGCCCCAGCTGACCTAGAACTCCCTATGTAGACCAGGCTGTCCTTGAACTAACAGAGATCTACCTGCTTCTGCCTCCCCAGTGCTGGGACTGAAGGTGTGCACCACCATGCCCAGCTATATCCATGGTTATTATGACTAGTGCTGCTGCAGTGAACAAGGGAAAGCAGCTATCTCTCTGGTATGATTCCATTTTTATTAGCTATATAATCAGTAGTGGGATTGCTGGATAAATAGTAACTCTATTTTTAGGTTTCTGAGAAAACTCCAGGCTGTTTTCCATAAGGGATAAAATTGTTTGCATCACCACCAAAGTGTGTAAGAGTTCCCCCTTTCTCTGCATCCTCACGAGTATTTTACTTTTTGTCTTTTTTTATATTCACAGCTTCCTGATTCTAAGGGCTCACATTCAAGTGAGAAGTAGACCACAAAAGATGCTTACAGAACAAAGTAAGTGTTAAAGTGTGTTAGCCTAGGGGAGTCCCATGAAAGGGAGTATCTCTGGCCTGTGGAGTGGGAAGGTCAACATTGCTGAGAGACAGTATCACCTGAATTGAGGCTGAAAGGATGACGCATTAATTAGGTCAAAGGAAAGAGGAGGGAGAGAGTGAAAATAACATGGACAAAAGTCAGGAGTAAGAGATAAAGTAAATTTGGTTGAGTATAAATAGCTTGGTATTTACTTTTAGAATGAAGGCAAGTGAGGCCAGGAGGGGAACATGAACAGAGCTCATCATGAATGACCTCAGCTGTGTTGAGAAGCCTAGGCTTTATCTTGTGTCTGAAAGAGAATGTCATGCCATATTTTATTTATGTATATAGCAATCTAGTAGCATTGTGGAACACAGAGGCAGAGTTCAATAAGGAAGTGAGATTCAAGTGCTGGCTGTATGGATCTACTCTGCAAAAAAATAAATACAGAGTGAAAGACACTGAAAAAGAGCCCGGGGTATGGGGGGCACTGTGGTGGTGGTGGTGGCGCATGCCTTCTAGTCCCAGCACTTGGGAGGCCAGCCTGGTCTACACAGCAAGTTCCAGGTCAGCTGGAGCTATCAGCTGGAGCTATAGGGAGACCCTGTCGCAAACACACACACACACCTGAAAGAAATAATTAGTATAATCACACACACACACACCTGAAAGAAATAATTAGTATAATCTATTCTTTTTAAAAAAATTTTTTAAATTATTTTTATGTGTGTGAGTGTATTGCTTGTACTTGTGTCACGAAATGCCTGTGGAAGCCAGAAGAGGGCATTGGATCTCCTGCTACTGGGGTTATGGATGGTTGTTAGCCACCATGTGGATGCTGGAAATTGAACCCAGGTCCTATGTAAGAGCAGTCAGTATTCTTAACCACTGAGCCATCTCTCCAGTCTTCCTTCTTCTTTTTTAAGATTTATTTTTATGTGGTGGCACACACCTTTAAATCCCAGCACCTGGGAGGTAGAGGCAGGCAGAGCTCTGTGATTTTGAAGCCAGCCTGTTCTACACAGTGAGTTCCAGGCCAGTTAGGGCTAGATAGTAAGACTCTGTCTCAAAAGATTTATTTTTACTTTTAATTGTGTGTGTGTGTGTGTGTGTGTGTGTGTGTGTGTGTATTTGCGCATACACACATGTGAATATGGGTGCCGAAGAAGGCCAGAAGAGGGTGTTGGATCCTCTGGAGGCAACTGTGAGTCACCATATGTGGGTGTTAGGAACAGCAAGAGCAATATGTGTTCTTAATCACTAAGCCACCTGTCCAGCCCCAAAAAGGTGCTCCTTTTAAAAAGTAATTATCAGGACTGGGGAGATAGCTCAGTGGGTAAGAGTACTTATTATGCAAGCATGAAGGACCTAAGTTTAAATCCCCAGCACCTACATAAAAAATTGGGTAGCCCTGTGTGGTGGCACACACCTTTAATCCCAGCACCTGGGAGGCAGAGACAGGTGGACCTCTGTGAGTTCAAGGCCAGTCTGGTCTACACAGCATATTCTATGCTAGCTGCTGCTATAGATAGAACCTGTCTCAAAAAGACCAAAAAAGAAAAAAGAAACAAAAAGAAAAGTTTGTGAAAGGGGCCCCCAAAAATTCAATACGTAGGCATTGAAAAACTGTACTAAATGTTAGCCAAGATTTAGTTTCTTTTTATTTTATTTATTATTTTTACTTTATGTGTATGAGTGTTACGGGTGCATGTAAGTAAATGCACCCATGTCGTGCAATGCCCACAGAGGACAGAAGAGGTTGTTGGATCCCCTGAAACTGGAGTTACAGACAGGTGTTAGCTGCCATGTGGGTGCTGGAATTCGAACTCGGGTCTTCTACAAGAACAGTCAGTGTTAACTGCTGAGCCATCTCTCCAGCCCCAAGATTTAGTTTCATAAATTTCAAATTAGAACAGATTAATAGACCAGGAATCTAATCAGAAAGATCTCTGGTTCCTTGATGATGGGGAAGGTCAAAACAACATTTTCTGAACCATTATATACCTAGCTTGAGGTATAACTCTAAAAACAAACAAACAAAATGACAGCATGAACGTAATATATGACTGAAAAGGTAAGGAAGAAAGGCTAAAGACCCAAGGCCCAATCATGGGATTTTAAGTTATCAAAGGGAGAGAAGAGGCACCCGAGACCACACAGTCTCACTGAGCCCAGATTTAAACTATATATAAAAGTCAAAAGCATTATCAAAGGAAAAGAATCACATAAACATCAATTGTTTAGGAAAATATACTTATTTTATCATGAACAAAAATGGGCTACAAAACTGAAGAAGAAAAGTTTGGGCGTGGTAGCACATGCCTTTAGTCCCAGCAGGAGGCAGAGGCAGGCGAATCTCTGTGAGTTCAAGGCCAGCCTGGTCTACATAGTGAATTCCAGGCCAGCTGGGGCTACAAGGAGGCCCTGTCTCAAAAAGACCAAAATAACAAAACAAAACAAACAAAAAACAAAAAAAAGTCACAAAACAATGAAGGAGAAATAATGAAGGAAAACTGGTAAGATTTTCTCATCTTTTGACTCTATAATCATGATTATCTGATATCTTTTTTTTTTTTTTTTTTGGTCTTTTTGAGACAGGGTCTCCCTGTAGCCCCAGCTGTCCTGGAACTCACTAGGTAGACCAGGCTGGCTTTGAACTCACAGAGATCCGCCTGCCTCTGCCTCCGGAGTGCTGGGATTAAAGGCATGTGCCACCACACCCAGCTCTGATATCTTTTTATCTTTTTCCCTCCTTCCTCAATAAAACAAGTTTTTAAAAGATTTGTATTCTCAATAAGAAGAGAAGTCTAGCTGGGTGTGGTGGTACACACCTGTGATCCCAGTACCAGGGAGATACAGGTGAGGGGATCAGGGATAGAAGGTCATCTTTGATTACAAAGCAAGTTCAAAGCCAGCCTGGGCTTTGTGAGACTGTCTCAAAAAAAAAAAAAAAAAAAAAAAAAATTCTGGCTAAGTAAGTAAATAAATAAGGAAAAGTTTGCATCATGATATAAAGTACTAGCTCTCAACTGTGGATGATTTTGCTTTGAGGGGGCATTTCGCAATTTCTGGTAAAATTTTTGTTTGTCACAACTAGAGGAAAAGATGGTACTGTCATTTAAGGATCTATTAAAAGACCCTATAATAGACAAGCTCCATAATAAATAATTCTTTAGTAGAAAATGTTGGTAGCAGCAAGGCTGAGAAACTGCCTATAATTCTCAATTATTCATGATGAGCTTATAACATACTTATGTGCTAAATAAAACTTAAAAAATACTTGGGAAGTGAAATAAACCAGAAAGCTCAGGTACATACAGGGGGAATAAATATTCAGGCGTCAGATCCAGATCATCATCATAACCAAATCGTCGAAGTACAGTCCAAGTGGTTTCATGTCTCCCTCTCTGGATAAAAAGTGTATGTAAAAAGAGAAACCCTGAAATAAAGTAAATCAGTGAATACAGTTGATGTGAAGACTGATTCAGTCCCATGGAAGAAAAGCATATAACATGAGTTGGATTTGTGAAAACATACATACCAGTTTTCACAGTAGGATCGAGACAATTCAGAGGTATACAAATGAAGCCAAACTCATTTCAGAGTCATTTCCCATAAACACCCAGCTCAGCAGGACCAAGTACTGGATGAAAGGGCCAAAACTATATCCCAAGGAGCACACTGACAGTCACAAAGCTTCATGATTATATGATGAAAACAAATGAAAATGATGTGTGGATCTTTGGGCTTATTTCTATAATGGAAAATTCTGAATTTTCTTTTTTAAATAAATATTTGGTTTAGTATTTATTTTTTAAATATTTTATTTATTATTTTTATTTTATGTGTATGTGGTATATTGCTTGCATGTATATAAATGCACCCGTGTCATGCAACACCCTTGGAGGACAGAAGAGGCCATGGATTCCTTGGAACTAGAGTTACAGACAGTTGTTAGCTGTCATGTGGGTGCTTGGATTCGAATCCCGGGTCTTCTGCAAGAACAGTGTTCTTAACCACTGACCAATCTCTCCAGTCCCATTATTTTTTTTTTTTATGTGATGAGTATATTGCCTGCATGTAAGTAGGTGCACCTGTGTCATACAATGCCTGCAGAGGTCAGAAGAGGATGTTGGATTCCCTGGAACTGGAGTTACAGATGGTTGTTAGCTGCTGTATGGGTGCTGGGAATTGAACCCAGGTCCTCTGCAAGAGCAGTCAGTGCTTTTAACTCCTGAGCCATCTCTCCAGCCCTAATTTAATTTCTGGTCATCAACATGACTCCACAATACATTCAACAGGGCACTATAATTAATAAATTTAACTCATATACACAGTCTCTAAAAATAAATTCTGATTAAAGACTAAGGAATTTAAGATAAATTTATTCCATATATCACTTCCATCATTTGGATCTCTATATCTTTTGAAGTTCAACCCATTGCTCTACCTCTAATTTATACTGACAGTAAGGATAATCTCCCCCAACACTAACATTTCCTTAACATATAAATAATGCTATAATGGCCTTCTGATAAATTTTGTAAACATTTAGCTAAAGGGTAGAAAAGGGTTTAGAGATAAAGGTAAGTAGTACAGTGTTTGCTCTGTATGAGCAAGGTCCAAGGCACAACCCTCAGTACCTAGGGAGAAAATGGTAGAAAAACATCATTCACCTACCTCTTAGTGTCAAACCACTGTCAGCCACACCATCACTTATGTGTTTTCGGACCACATTCTTGACATCTTCCAGAGCTTGAGGAGCTAAAGGAGTGTTGAAACAAATTCTCTAGCAAAAAAATAAAATAAATAAATAAAACAACCCAAAATATAAAGCTACAACAATATATAATGGTAATACTCTACAAAACCAATGAGCTGAAACCAAAACAAACTATTGAAATAGTCTCCATTTTGTATTATTTAAGTATGTTATACTTAAAAAAGAAACTTCCCGGGCTGAAGAGATGGCTCAGCAGTTAAAAACACTGGTTGTTCTTGCAGAAAACCTGGGTTCGAAACCCAGCACCCACATGGCAGCAGCTAACAACTGTCCATACCTCTAGTTCCAGGGGATCCAATGGCCTCTTCTGTCCTCTGAGGGCACTGCACAACACGGGTGCATTTACCTACATGCAGGCAATATACTCATACACATAAAAATAATAAGGGGGCTGGAGAGATGGCTCAGAGGTTAAGAACACTGACTGTTCTTGCAGAAGACCCGGGTTCAATTCCCAGCACCTACATGGTGGCTGCAAACCATCCTTAACTCCAGTTCCAGGGGAATCCGAAGCCCTCTTCTGACTTCTGCGGCACTGCACAACACGGGTGCACTCACTCACATGTAGGCAACACACTCATACATATAAAATAAAACCAATGAATAAGCCAGGCGTGGTGGCACATGCCTTTAATCCCAGCACTCGGGAGGCAGAGCCAGGCAGATCTCTGTGAGTTCAAGGCCAGCCTGGTCTACATAGTGAGTTCCAGGACAGCTGGGGCTACAAGGATACCCTGTCTCAAAAAAGACACACACAAAAAAACAAAAAAACAAAAAACTTCCCAACATTCCTCATTCTGTTTTGAAAACACAAAGCTCTTTGTGTAGTTACGTAACACAAAGCCCAGAAAGCTTTATTAGAAAGATTTATTAGAACAGACTGGAAGTCACCATTCTTCATACATCCACTATGCCTCACGAAATGACACTATTAAAAAGTTCCTTTTGCCAGGAGTGGTGGCGAATGCCTTTAATCCTGCAAAGGCATGGGGCCTGGTCTACATAGTGAGTTCCAGGACAGCTTGGAGCTACAGGGAGACCCTGTCTCAAAAAGACCACACACACACAAAAAAAGAACACCGGCTGTTCTTGCAGAAGACCCAGGTTTGAATCCCAGCACCCACATGGCAGCTAACATCTGTCTGTAACTCCAGTCCCAGGGGATCCTACAGCCTGTTCTGTCCTCCGAGGGCACTGCACGACATGGGTGCACTTACCTACATGCAGACAATACACACATACACATAAAAATAACAAATTTTAAAAAAAGAAAAAGATTTAATGGCATATTGCTGTTTAAGCTAATAAGTTTTATGTCTTCTATTGAAAAATATCTGAAGCTAAAGACAGCTACCTGAAAGAAGTTGAGTTCAGCATCATTCAGAGTACCATCGTTATCTTGATCAGATATTTTAAATATACGAGTGAGGGCTTTTATACAAGCTGGTTTCATCTACAAAACAGTAAGAAACAAAATATTTTAAAACGAGATTTTCATAAGTAATGCTGAGAAAACTTGACTGTTTTTAAGTAGTATCAAGTCCATTGACAACTAACTTTTTTGATATAGAAGATTAGACCTATGACTTGCGCCTTAGGCAAACTTTCTATAACTCGGGTATATCATCAATCCTTTTTTTTAACCATTAAAAAAAATAACCTCTGTGTGTGTGTGTGTGTGTGTGTGTGTACATGCAAAGCAATGTATGCAATGGTTCGTGTGTAGAGGCCAGAGGACAACCGTGAGGGTTTGTCTTCCCCTTTCACCTTGTTTGAGAGAAGGTCTTGTTTCACTTCTGGAGATTTTGTCTCTGCTTCCCTTCTTGAAATAGGAGCACTGATGTTACAGACACACACTACTGCACCCAGCTTTAGTGGGCTCTGGGGATCTGAACTCAGGTCCTCACATTTGTGCAGCACATATGCTTTACCCCAGTCACCTTTTTTAACTTTTAATTTTGAGACAGGGTCTCACCAATTTGCCCAGGTTGGCCTTGACCTTCCAATCCTCAGCTTCCCAAGAAACTGGGGTGCATGTCTGCCTCACCAGGCCTACCAAAGCCAATTATTTTCATATTCAAGACTTTTAAAGTAAATGGGGTGATATTTACTTGTTACTAGAACTGATATTTGGAGTTGTAAATTTCTTATTTTCTGACCACAAATCCTTTGAAAATGGGCAAAAGAAAATTTCAGCTTTCGTTTTTTAGGGCTTCAGTCTCGACTGATGGATTACAGGTATGTTCCTCTGTGCCTGGCTTCTTCTTGTGGTGCTAGAGATAAAATCTAAGGCATCTTGCTGATAAGAAAGCACTAAGCCATACCCTTAGCCCAAGCAACTCAATGTTTTAATTTGTTCCATGTGCATGTTACAGTTGGAATAAAAAACAAGCTTATTCACAAATAAATTACAAAATGTCACTGGTTATTAAGCATAAAAGACTTTGATTACTTCTTTTGTAAGATTTACTTTTTTGTTTTGTTTTTTTTGAGACAGGGTCTCCCTGTAGCCCCAGCTGGCCTGGAACTAGCTATATAGACCAGGCTGTCCTCAGACTCACAGAGATCCGCGTACACCACCACACCTGGCTAAGATTTACTATCATCTATCTATCTATCTATCTATCTATCTATCTATCTATCTATCT